CCCATCCCCCACCCCCCCGCATCTGTCAGCACCCTATGTAGTTTGTATTTTAGCACGTGCAGTATAATATAATAAAAGTTTTACGTGTCCATGAGGATCAGTATCTTAGATAGCAAAGCTTAAAGGGAACCTTGACTTCATACATACGTAAGCATCTGTAAAGTTTGAGCATACTGGTGGTGCTAGGCAGATACAACAAACAATGAACTAATTAAGAAACAACTAAACATTGTTATTCCTTGGCCCAAAATTATTATTCAGAAATTTTTAGCAAATTTTCAGCAGGTAGAAGTATTGGGAGACTTCTTTAACCACTAAGAAATTTCTCCCATTCAATTGTATTTTGTTCCTTGGGTCACCCATGCCCTTTAACACCTTCCACAAATTCTTCTTATCCATTTAGCAGGGAGCAGGGTGGGGTGAGGTGCGCGGTAGAACTGAGTCTATCTTCTCCGCATCTGTGCTGCTATGACGTATTGTCAATACAGCCTTTGTTTACATTTTGAACTTTTTAATGGCAAGTTCCTTCATGAAAACTTAGCTGAGACCTACTGAATTTCAACCAGAAAAGAGAAAAAACACTTACGTGCAAGTTATTTTCCCTGCTACTAACCCGAGTATGGGATATCAGTTGTTTCCCACCATTTCTGTAATTTATAACAGAATTATATCCCAGATCAATCTCATTGGCTATCTTTGGACCCATAGATCAGAATCGTCCTAGACTGACTGTGAGAGACTACCAAAGAAGAATTTATAACAAATTCTTATAACAGAACCAAAACACTGCATATACTGACTTTTACATAATGCAATTGATGTTAAATAAGCAATTTAAAAACACCAATACTTTTTAACATGGGAAAATAAAACACTAAAAATTCTGAAAATTTATGATTACTCAGCTACAGACTTACCCAATCAGCATTTTTCAACTCATCAAGGTCTGTGCTGGATTCATCACTCCTTTCTTTGTCCATCTCCTGAATCTTCTTCAGATTCTGTGAATTAAAATAAATTTGTGAACAAGCTGTATAACAGTGATGTACTGAAGCAAAGTAGGTAAGATTTTCACAGGCTTCTGCTTGTTACAGTGAGATTTGTTTAGAGTCTGCTCATCTTTGCATATTTTTATGGTGAATATTCAAAGTGTACAGCCATTAGCAACACCAAATTTTTTTTTCCAATGAAAATTTCCTTTTATTGAAGGTGACTATAACATTTAATTCCCTGCATAAACCAATCAAGCCCCACTGTAAAAATAATTAGGTTTCTTCTTGATCTTGTTGTTTGGGGCTGGGGAAGGCTCTTTCAGAACTCTATTGCTTTCATTGTTGTTAGAAACTGTTTTCAACTTTCCAGTCTAAAGTTATTCAAAGCCAAGTTATACCCATCTATTCTTGTGCAACTGTTGTCTTTAACTTAAGTACCTTTACTCCCTCTCTGGTATTTAACCACCCAATGGATTTGTTGACAGTCATCATATGCATTCTCAGCTTGCTTTGCCTAAGACAGGCAATGAACAATAAGCATTAAAATCTGTAAGTCTACGTTTCTGTGAAAGCACTAGAGTGCATCAGAATACTTGGACTTCTCATCAAGAATGCTGCAATTAAATAAGTTCATTAACCAGAAAATTGTAAGGTGCATGGCACCAAACGTGACTGATCATGTACGGGCAATGACATGAGTTTTATATAAATGCTTCTAATGTATAAAAAGAGTAGGGCTGTGCGAAACAGCTGTGTTTCGATTCAATTTTGGATTCGGCCATTTTGGAGGACAGTAATTCGCTTCAGTGTTTTGGATCATTGTCCTGGCTTGTTTCGGCCAAACCTGTTTCAAACAGGCTGCAAGCTTTGCACAGGCCTACTGCCCAGCTGGGCGGAGCTTAGGTCCAGGGGCTGTACGGCCCCAGCAGGGAACAGGATGGGGCCGTGGGTGGCTCATCCAGGGGGAGGGCCGCTGCCCTCCATGCAGATCTCTGACCCCTGTCATACTGGGTCATGGGTTTACATACTAAACAGGTCCTTGCAGGCAACACCACAAAGAAACCAAGCTCTCATCTCACAAGATAAGTTCTGAATGTCTCTTCTCATCCTTTTGCAGCTCTTTTCCTAGATGAATCCCCATGCTTTGTATAATGGCATTAATACTTCATCATCTTTACTGACAGTGCCTCCACTGATATACATCCTCGCATTGCATTTGCATTTTCAGCTAAGTACAGACAGTCAAAAAGCTCAAGGCTGAATCGATTCAATCTTCAAAGGTTAGTCTAAGCTGTAAAGATTGAATTGATATGGAAGTAAACAGACATTCACTTTTGATTCCAGAAATGCAGCCACATGCTTGCAGTGGCCCATGCCAGAAGCTAGGGGGTCCTAGAACACGCCTCCCTGCTTGGCTGGAGTAGGCAACTTGGGCTGAGGCTAGCCCACCCACCCTATGAGGCTGGGTTTTCGAGGGAGGTGCAAAGCATCCTGGGATGCTGGGGGCTGTGAGTTAACTCGAATCTGGAAGGGATCTGGGACAGAAATTCAATAAACTGATTTAACTTAAATCAGTTAAGGCAGACACTATATCCAACCAGGTTTATCTTAAACTGGTTTTGGCCATTTGGAAACTGGTTAATATGATGATAACCCTCCTCTACTGCAGTGAAACCTGTATTGTCTACTGACGCCACAGGATCAAATGGGAGGACAGCTGGACCAGTGCAAGCATCCTCCATGAAGCTGCGTCCACCAGCATTGAAGCCTTGCTCTTGAGAAATCAACTCCGATGGACAGGCCACTGCGTCTGGATGTCCGAGAACCGCCTCCCTCACCAGATCCTCTTTTTCCAGCTCCCAACTGGCCAACACTCAAAGGGAGGCCAAAGGAAACGGTACAAAGACACACTCAATGTCACCCTCAAGCATGGAGGCATCAACATCAATGGCAGGGAGGAGCAAGCTACTGACTGTTCGGTGGGGCGCCACCTGGTCCACTAAGGTGCGCACCACTTTGGGGCCCCAAGACTCGATACTGAGACAGAACAGCAGTGGCAGAGGAAGGAAAAGGAGACCAACCCAGGGCTGCAAATCCCACTCCCTGTGCAACATGCCCCCATTGTCAAAGAATGTGTGTATCCAGAATCCAGCTCCTCACCTGAGGGTCCATCAAGCCTGACGGAAATCATCCTCAACTCTGAGGGACTGCCACCAACTTCTAAGTCTAATGAATTCCCAGATTGTAGCAGAAGTTCTTGTTACTTAATCCTTAAGTACGTAACTTTTTCCTTTGTACTACTGAAATTCATCTGATTCCCATTATACCAGTTCAAGGTCATCCAGTTCTTTTGTACAACACAATCCTCCTCTGTATTGACTCTCTCTCCTAACTTGGTGTCATCAGCAAATATCCCCAACACATCCTACTTTTGGTGCCAATGTCATTAATTAAAATATTCAATAAAAACAAACCCAAAACAGCTCTTCAACACTTACACAATGGGGAACTCCCTACTCGAGAGCACGGAGGCCGAAAGAAATCTTGGAGTCATTATTGACTCCAAGATGAACATGGGCCGACAATGCGAGGTCATGGTTGGCAGGGCTAACCGGACCTTGTCATGCATCCACAGGTGCATCTCGAGTAGAGCCAAGGAGGTGATCCTCCCCCTCTACGCGACGCTGGTCAGGCCACAGCTGGAGTATTGTGTCCAGTTCTGTGCGCCCCATTTCAAGAGGGATGTGGACAA